GGCACTCACTCGGTTATGCCAAGAGATTGGAAAACAGCTACCTGGCCAAGTGACTGGAAGAGATCCATATTTGTACCCATTCCAAAGAAAGGTGATCACACAGAATGTGGAAATTATCGAACAATATCATTAATATTGCATGTAAGTAAAATCTTACTGAAGATAATTCAAAAATGGTTGCAGCACAATATTGACAGAGAACTTCCAGAAATGCAGACTGGATTCAGAACAGGATGTGGAATGAGGGATATCATTGCTGATGTCAGATGGTTATTGGCTCAAAGCAAAGAATATCAGAAAGATGTTAACTTGTGTTTTATTGACTATGCCAAAGCATTTGATTGTGTGGATCATAACAAATTGTGGATAATATTGAGAAGAATGGGAATTCCAGAACACTTAATTGTTCTCATGAGGAACCTGTACATAGACCAGGAACTTGTCATTCTAACAGAAAAAGGGAACACTACATGGTTTAATATCAAGAAGGGAGTGCGTCAGGATTGTATCCTTTCATCATACTTATTCAATCTGTTTGCTGAGCAAATAATCCCAGAAGCTGGACTATATGAAGAAGAACATGGCATCAGGATTGGAGGAAGAATCATTAACAACCTGCGATACGCTAACGACACAACTTTGCTGAAAGTGAGGATGACTTGAAGTACTTAGTGATGAAGATTGAAGAATACAGTCTGCAGTATGGATTACATCTCAATATAAAGAAAACAAAAATCCTCACAACGGGTCCTATGAGCAAGATTATGATAAATGGAGAAAAGATTAAAATTGTCAAAGACTTCACATTGCTTGGTTCTACAGTCGACGCCAATGGAAGCAGCAGTCAGGACATCAGATGACGTACAGCACTGGGCAAATCGGCTGCAAAGGACCTCTTTCAAGTGATGAAGAGCAAAGATGTCTCCTTGAGGACTAAGGTGCGGCTGACAGTATTTTCAGTTGCCTCATATGCATGTGAGAATTGGACAATGAATAAGGAAGACTGAAGAAGAATTGATGCTTTTGAGCTGTGGTGTTGGCGAAGAATGCTGAAAGTACCATGGACTGCTGAAAGGACTAACAGGTCTCTTCTGAGGAAGTGCAGCCAGAATGCTCCTTGGAGGGGAGAATGGCCAGACTTCTCTGATGTTCTTAAGTTGAATGTTTGTTCATTTCTATTCTTTCTTCTTTTCTAAGAAACTGATTTGAGGCTGTAAAATTGTTCTGGGGGAAAGTTTATGTAGGAATCGTTCTCATGACTATTTATTTTCACCACATAGCTGCATTTTTTATTTCTTCTTTAGCCTCCAGGTGAGTTAGAGGCACGAGCTTTCCCTTTTGTATCTGCCCCCTTGGGACCCTATTTTGGACATTTTTCTAGTTTTGTTGAACTGTGGTTAGAACATGTAGCCTTTAGGACTTGTCCTGTCTTGAATGTGTTGCAATTTTCCTCACGGTCCAATGCTCTGCTAGTTTTTTGTCTTGGGGGAGAAAGATGGTTTGATGAAGAAGTGGCCTCTCCACAAATGGTCATAAGACGGCTGTTCTCTGAGTGGGCCTTCCCAGCCCTCAGAGCCACAGCTAGAAGCCGACGCCAAACCCCATGCATGCACAAGGGGCCAGGATGAAGGCAGAATCCACGGAGCAGTCATGGGCTGTGATTCTTTCTCTCTCTCTTTTTGGCCAGCTTTGGGCACATCATTTCTCCCTCTGGCCTGTTTCCTCATCTGTCATGTGCAGGGATGGGGCTAGACCCCTCTCGGTCCAGATCTGTACTGCCCACTAGGTGGCCACTCACCACAAATGCCTACTGAGCAACTGCAATGTGGTAAGCCCATGCTAAGGAGTTCCCTCTGACTTAGAAAATTAGTAGAATAATATGAAATGGCTCACTATTTTTTATATTGATTATATCTTGAAATAATGATATATCGAATCTATTATTAAAATACATCTTGCCTCTTTCTCTTTAGTTTATCTTAATGTGGTTATTAGAGATTTAAAATTATACACATGAGGACCACATCCATGTTTCTGCTGCATGGTGCTGCTCTGGGCTGCCCGGGGCTCTCCTCAGCCATGTCCTTGTGCTCACCCTGCACCCCTGGAGATGGAAGGGCATGGCACCCCCCCTTGGAGGAGGAGCCCCACACCTTCTCTCCAGCGTGGCTTTGATTCTGTCTTCTCAGCACCTCTGAAGTGAGCCTGGAAGCCTTTCAATTTCCAAGGTGCCTGGCCTCCCATTGCAGCAGGATTCTGGAAGCCTCCAGGTGGCAGGTGTTCTCTGTTGCCTGGTCTTGCAGCCATGCTGTGGACAGGCAGAGGTCAGGCAGGTTTGCCAAGTGACCATTACAGATGAACAGGGCAGGTGCAGGGTAAGCTGGAGTGTGCATTCGACAGGGAAGCAGATTGGGAACATGGGATTGGGCCACTTGCTGAGTGTCTTAGCTATCTAGCGTTGCTATAACAGAAACCACAAATGGGGGCTTTAACAAAGAGGAATTTGTTATTTGTTTTTGTGTGCCACTGAGCTGACTCCGACCCACAGCGCCCCTAGAGGACAGAGTGGAACTGCCCACAGGGTCTCCAAGGCTGTCAATCTTCACAGAAGCAAAGCCCAAACCACACCCACTGCCCTGGAGTAGATTCCGACCCACAGCGCCCCTAGAGGACAGAGTGGAACTGCCCACAGGATCTCCAAGGCCGTCAATCTTTACCTGAACAAAACCCTGGGCATTTTCTCCTGTGGAGCCACTGGTGGGTGTGAATTGCCAGCCTTTTCGTTAGTAGCTGGAGGGTTAGTCACTGAGCCACCGCGGCTCCTTGCTCACAGATTAGGAGGCTAGAAGTCCGAATTCAGGGCGCCGGCTCTAAGGGAAGGCTCTCTGTCTGCTCTGGGGAAGGGCCTAGTCTGTCTGCAGCTTCTGCTGCTCAGTTCCTGGTCTCCCCTTGGCACGCATCTCCCTTCCCATCTCCACGCGCAGCAGCACCTAACCTGCTTGATCCATGATTCAAAGATGATTGGCTGAAGATCCGCCTCACAGGACATGGCTTCATAACAGAGAGGAAGCCCGCTTGCACATGGGAGGACGCCACAAGTATGGGGGATAGGATTTACAGCATGAGCTTTGCAGTCACAATTCAATCCGTAACACTGGGCTGTGACTGTGGGACCCCATACTCACCCAGCCCCCAAGACAGCGTCCAGGTCAGAGACCACGGAGGCACAGTTCAACCCTCAGCGGCTAGGCAGGTGCGACCCTCCACCCCACCCCCCAGACAGGAAGGTCATGCAAGTGCCTCCCCTCCAATTCCTGCTGCGTATTGGGAGCCAGTGGGCCCCAGAGACCCCCCAGGAGATCTAGGGGAGGGGCCTTGGGTCTCACTTACCCGAAAGCTCAGGCCTCCAGCCCCTTGGCATCACAGGATGGGAAGGCCCTCCAGGCACCAAGGACAGCCTAGCAGCCTCGTTCCGGTGGCCACCTTCGGAAAATCCAGCCCATCTGTAGCCCCCGGGGAGCGCGGAGTTGCGGAACTGGCTTCCCCAGACGGCGGGGAGGCCGGATGAAACTCCGTTCCTAATGGCGCGTTCTGTACGTTTCCCAGCGCCCGGTCCCCGCACACCTCCGATCTCCAGCCATGGGGCGGGGAGAAAAGCTCTCTTCGTCTCCCTCCCCCAGGAAACCCGGCCTGCGCTGGCACAAAGGCGCCGCTCCTATTCCCCTGCGCCTCTTACCCGCTGGTACAGTCTCAGGCCCGGGGAGAGGCCCGAGACAGAGGCGGAAGGCTGAAGCTTTACAGGGTGTACTTGTGGAAGTTGCTGGGACGCTGACCGAGGAGCGCGGGCCGGGAAAGGAAGACGGAGACTGGAGGAACGTCGGGAGCCAGCAGGCCTGGCCGGATTGGGCAGCGCTTGCGTGGCCGGGAAAGGGAGGAGCCGCGGGGCTGACCGCCGCCCAAGTCGTGGCGATGGGGACAGGCCCCAGACCCTGGGCCAAGGGGCCCCACCGAGGGCTCTCAGTGTGGGCGAGGAGGGCAGGGTGCCCAGGGACCTGGGTGCCCCACGCGCCTGGCTCGCCCACTCCCCACACCCACCCCAGCCCCGCGGTGGAGCGCACAGGTGGGCTCGATGGGGGCAGGTGCGCGTAGGGCCTGAGGCCGGGCGGGCAGTGAATTTAGTTCGCGAAGCTCCCGCGAGCCACGCGCCTGGCGCGCGCGCTTCCCCCAGGGGATTGGGCGGGGCGCGCTGGCGCGAATGGCCGAGGAGGCGACCCGCGATTGGTCCAGTCAGAAGACTCCGCCCCTCGGCCGCAAGAGGCGGGACTGGCGAGGGCGTGGGGTTGGGTGGGGGAGCGACGCGTGCTGCCCAAAGTCTTGCGCGGCCCCGCCCTCGCCCAGGGCGCGCGCTGCGCGTGCCGAGGACGGACGGCTAGGGAACCTCGGGCTGCCAGGGGAGGAAGGGGCAGTGCAGCTAGCACCTGCGGATTGGGAGCGGGGGCGCATCGGGCACCTGCAGACGGCGCCGAGTAGCGCGCACTTGGCACCTACTGGGAAAGGGGTGGCGGGGGTCTCACTCGGACCTCCAGCTTCGCCTGGTAGGGGGCCCCAGGGAGCTGCTGGGGGCGCGCGCACGGCCGGCCTGGGCTTGGCTGCTAGTGCGCGAGGGGGAGGGCGAAGCGTGCGCAGGGCGAGGCGAGGCGGGAGGGCGTGAGAAGGGGGCGGTGGCCGCGGCGGAGGAGGGTTATCTATCTATTTAAAAACAGCCGCGCCGGGGAGACCTGGGAGCGTCTGTCCGCACGCGCGGGACGCGAGCGCCCCACGCTCCGCTGCGCGCACGGCCTGCCACCTCGGCCACCCAGCAACGCGCCTGGGGAGTCGTTCCGCGGCTCTGTGCTCGAGGGCCCTAGGGGCGCGCCGCCTCCGCCCGCACCTTGCAGCGGCGCGCGGGGCTCGGAGGAGGCGTCCGGTGGGTGAATGCGGGTTTAGCGGACGCCGGCGCGATGTCCCGGCCCGCGCCCGTAGCGTCTGTCGTCCACGGCGGCCGTTGTGCCCGACGGCGGCCCGCGTCCCCTGAGCGGCTGCGCTGCAGCCGGCGGCGGCTGGGCGCGCTGGAGGAGGCCGGAGGTGGCGCGGCGGCTGTGGCGCGGCGTAACGAGCGCGAACGCAACCGCGTGAAGCTGGTGAACTTGGGCTTCCAGGCGTTGCGGCAGCACGTGCCTTACGGCTGCGCCAGCAAGAAGCTGAGTAAGGTGGAGACGCTGCGCTCAGCCGTGGAGTACATTCGCGCGCTGCAGCGCCTGCTGGCCGAGCACGACTCCGTGCGCGCTGCGCTGTCAGGGGGGCTGTTGGCCCCCGCCACGAGGACCCCCGCGCCGCGCGCGCCTTCGGAGACCCCCGCAGCGGCTGCCGCCTCCCCCTCCTGCGCCTCGTCGTCCCCCGGGTGCGGGGGCAGTTCGGAGCCCGGCTCCCCGCGCTCTGCTTACTCGTCGGACGACAGTGGCTGCGAGGGCGCACTGAGCTCAGCGGAGCGCGAGTTGCTGGAGTTCTCCAGCTGGTTAGGGGGGTACTGAGCGTCCCCGCCCCCCCCCCCCGAGGTAACACGGTCCGCGGGCACCCGGAGCAAGTAGGATAGGAGGCAGGGGCGACGAGGTGGGATGGGGAGCCCCGCGGGTCACGCCCCCAGAGCGGTGAGGCCGAGCGTCAGGCCATGCGACGGCTCGGATTTGGCTCACTCTTCCTTTTCCCCAAACTTTTCAAGCCCGTGCAAGAACGCATCTGAGTGTCCGCGATTGCAAAACTTCCCCTAGCTGCTCAAGGCCGATGGGGGGTGGGGGGGAGATGGGGTGGAACAGGCCGGCCCTGGAACGGGTGAGGCCCCTAGCGCCTGCGGATCCTGGCAGATCACGGTGCTGGGGGCGGAGTGACTTTGCATTGCAAATCGTGCCCCGGCCCAGAATGGCAGAACTGCGTCTGCGGGTGCGGAGTCCTGACTCACCACGGCTCCGGGGCGCGCGCCCCGCCCTGTCTCGGGCACCGGCCGAAGGCGATGCACCCACAGGCCCAGAAAAAGAAGAACCAACTGCGCTAGTGCGAGGTGGGGGAGGGTCTCGCCTGGGGCGCATCCCGAAGTTAACTCGCTCCCGGGTCTCCTGTACCCTTCTCCCTCCCCACAGCTCCGCACGCCTGGTGGCCGGCGCGCCTTTCTCCTGGGAAGCCAGCCAGGCGGACAAGCCCGAACCCCCTGGCCCACTGCTTCTAGTCCGGCCTGCCCGGAGGGGCGAAGCCACCCCCGAGCCAGGGGCGCCTCGGACCGCTCCCTGTACCCGCGCAGCCTGTCCGGTGGCCATTGTGGACACAGGTTTCCTAGGCTTGCCTCCACCCCCTTGGCCTGGCCACTTCCGCTCAGGCTTTCCACTGAGGATGGGAGGCGGCTGGGGCCCCCACACCTGGAGGTTTTTCTGGAAAGGATTTCATGTGGACAGAGGCTCTGCTTTCTACAAATGGACTCCATCTGCGGAGGTGATGCTGCTGGAGACAATGGAGACTTACTTTTGTATGAAGAGTCACTTGGAACAGGATCAAGACTGTGCACATGTCCCCTCCCCTAGGACCTGGAATTTTCCCAACTGGCCAAGAGCACCTCTGAGCAGCCCCCGGAGGGGGAGTGGGGGCTCTGGGGGGCGCTGCTCAGCTGGGGGAGGTGTGCCAGGAAAGGACTGTCGTTTGGGGAAGGTGGACTTTATAAAGAATTACGTTCTATTTATCAGTGGTGCCTGATGCTGCTCTCTGTGTGTGGCCCTGAGCCCTGGGTCGCAGGTGAGGGGCAGGCTTGGATGGAAGGGTGGCAGTCACCTGTATGAATGAGCAGGGTCACTCTCCTTGGCTTCTGCCCCCTCCTCTGTAGGGTGGGTGCAGGGGTGTGAGGTCTGGTGGCAGACCGTTGTGGGGCTGGGGGCTTCTGGAAAGTAGGGTGGGCCGAGGCCTGCATGTCACAGCCGGGAAGCTGAGGTGAGAGGCAGGAGACTGGCAGTGGGGGCAGGATGTTGGGCTCGGACCCAGGTGCACCAGCCTGGGGCACTGTCTGCTCTCCATGTCAGGGGCTTGGGCCAGGCAGGCTGCCCAGTGTTCCCATTTCCACTGCCTGTTACCAGGTGGGCGATCCTGGGCCCGCTGCTTCACCTGCAGCTGCAGACAACAGCAGACCCACCTGTAGAGTTGTGGGGGGCTCGCTGGGTGGCTGGGGATTGGTGCCTGGTGGGTCCTAGCCCCTGTGCCTGCGGTATCCAGAGTGCAAGGTGCGGGTTTGGCCAGTGGCGGTGCCCTGCACATCTCTGAGCCCTGAGAGCGGCTTCTTGAAAGGAACAGGAAAGCCAGTCCTTGGAGGAGCCCTCCCACCCCACAATGCTCCCTGCCTGGCAGCCAGCTCGGAGAGACAGTGACTCAGCTCTACCTTTGACCCTGGGTGTCGGCAGCTTTGAAGTCTGAGGTGTTCACAATCTTCCTTTTATTGCAGGGGTGGGGCAGGGCCGAGGGGAGTCCCCAGGCTGCTCTAGGCTGCTGAGGGCACCCTTAGATCAGGAGGGAGTTGTGGGTAGGGCAAAGCCGTTGGAACCCTGGGAAGTGAAAGTGGCTGGTGTTGGCTTAGGGTTGATGTCTGCTTTGGAACCATGGTGCCCCCAGGTGGTGGGTCCTCTTCAGAAGACTGGTCTCGACAGAGAGCCCTTCCCCAGCAGGGCTGCTCAGAGGTCCTCTCAGGCCACCATCAGCATCAGCCTAGCTCAGGCTCCTCCCAAGGCCAGGGGCAAAGCTGAGTCCATGGCTGGAGCCACAGGGAGGATCAAACACTAGCGAAGGGCCTGTGAACACGTGACACTGAGAGCAAGAAGCCAGATGCGCCAGATGCGGAAGGACAAGCAACGTGTGGTCCCTCTGACACGGGTGGTCCCTCTGATACGTGTGGTCCCTCTGACATACAACGGCCAGTACAGGCAAAGGCCTACACATGGCTACAGGGAGCCTTCTACTGCAAACGGCCGATGAACCTCGTGGATGACAGCAGCTGACCCCATGGTGCATGGGGTCGCTCTGGGTGGGCAGCTAACAGGCTGGGGGAGGGAAAATGGGAAGTTACTGCTTCAGGGGCACAGAGCCTCTGTTCGGGGGGATGCAAATATTTGGGAATGGATAGGGTGATGGGAAAGGATGGGTGCATCGTGGTGAAGAGAATTCATGTTGTTGAACTGTATACTTAGCAATGGTGACAGCAGCAAGTCTTGGGCTGTGTCTTATTTTACTATAATAAAATGGAAAAGAACAGGACAGAGAAGTGGTCATGGGCTTGGGTATGGTTTGGTTCCTTTTTAATTTCAATTATTATTTTAAATTTTTATTGTGATTTAGATGAAAGTTCACAGAGCAAATTCATTTCCATACGCAGTTCATACACATTTTGTTTCATGACATTGACTAATTCCCCACAATGTAACAGCTCCCCTCCCACTTCCTCCGTGTAGTTACTTCTTCCCTGTGTCCTTCCCTTGCATGCACTCCTGCCCCCTGAGCTGTCTCCCTGTGCATGCACTGCCCTTGTTCTCCCAGGATTGATCTCTCCAAGGAGTGTATCTACCTGATGTAAATGTTCACCCCATATGCCTGTCCATTGTTTGGCTGGAAGCCACAGGAGTGAGTTCAGTTCCAGACATGAAGGGTAATTAGGGGCCATAGTCTCAGGATATCAGACCAGCAAATTTGGTCTTTTTCTATGATTTTGAGTTTTGTTTTACATTGTTCTCCCACTCTATCCAGGATCTCCTGCACCAATCCCCCATCCCAGTGATTGACAGTTGTAGCTGGGCACCATCTAGTTATTTTGGTCTCATATTCATATAGGCTGAGGATCACATGGTCTACCAGTCCCCTGGGTTAATTGTTTCCATGCATCCTTGGTTTTCATTCTTTTTTGCTCTGGATGAGAAGAGACCCATCGTTGCATCTAGATGACCACTTGCAAGCTTTTAAGATCCCAGTCACTTCTCACCAAAGTAGGATTCATAGCAATGTTTTGTGGAGGATGTTACATCAATTGAGCTTATTGTGCCTGTAACTATAGTCCCAAGCCCACAGGTCCAACTACTTGCTCCGTTTGGGTAGCTGGCTGTGGTCAAGGAGCCACCACAATCTTGCCTTTGTCAGCTCTACTACACACCCTGACATTCCTACGGGCACATACAAATACGCATGTAGAAACATTGTCTGCCAACCCTATCCATTGTCATGGGCACACTCCCCCTGCCTAGACAAACCTGATCATTCAGCCTGTCCACCCATCTATCCACCTATAGATCAATGCTTGTCATCACTGACAATGCAGTACTATACATGCAAGAGGGTTCATCTTTGTTGTCTGTACCTCCTGTGTACCTCTTGTCTTCCTCTTCCTCAGTGCCACCCCAGCTTGGTTCTTGGTGTGGGAGTGTCAGAGGCAAGTTTGTCCCTGGATTCCATCGTCAGAAAGCACAGACTGCTGTTGCCATCTCTCTTCCGGGATCCAGGCTGCCAGCTTTGACTGATGTTTGCAGATGTGGGCAGTGTGCACCATCCTCCAGGAATATGCTGACCTGTATTATCCAATCGGGGACACTTTGAGAGTGGAAAGAGGGCATGGCAGGTGTCCCCTGGTCACTCTAGTTATAACATTCCCTGCCCCAAAGCTGTCACTATTGAGCACCAGTCACTGCCCCAGCTTGCACTGGTGCCTAAAGCCCGGTGCGTGGCTTTCGTGGATTGGACATGAGGCTCTGAAGGAGAAGTGCCTAAAGCCCGGTGCGTGGCTTTCGTGGATTGGACATGAGGCTCTGAAGGAGAAGTGCCTAAAGCCCGGTGCGTGGCTTTCGTGGATTGGACATGAGGCTCTGAAGGAGAAGTGCCTAAAGCCCGGTGCGTGGCTTTCGTGGGTTTCATGCCCAACTCCTCACACTTGCCTTTCTGAGTGGGCAGAGCTCTCTGGCGTGAGGCCCTCCTGGGCCTGGGGAGATGAGGCCTCAGAGCTTTAGCATTGTCCATTGGAGCTTGGACACACCTCCTTCTGGCCAAGGTACCCAGCCTGTCCTTGGTGTCCCAGGGGGCAAGACCCCTACCTGGAGGTGGCCAGGAAGCAGAGATTCCTGGGACCAAAGGTGTGGGAGGTCCATCGGGGTAGAGGCTCGTGCTCACCTGGAGGTGGGGCGGTTGTCCAGAGCCAGACCAGCTGATCCCGGGTCAGGGCGCCGCCACGCACAGGACTGGGGTGGGGGCGGAGGGAGTGACAGTTCCTATGACAGAGGCCCAGGAGCCCTTTGGAGGCACTTTGTTCCTTGGCGTCCACACATTGCTCTTGCCCATGACAGCCTCCCCCACGTCTGTGACTTAATCGTACTGTTACAGCTCATGTGTTGCTGTGATGTCACTGGTCTTTCAAATCCCAGCGGAGTCACCCGGGGTGGGCAGGTTTCAACAGGACTTCCCGACTAAGACAGACTCGGAAAAAAGGCCTGGGGGTGGGCTCCTGAACTCGGTCAATGAGATCCTTGTG